TTGTTCACTCATTTGCTTGACGAGTTCATTTGTGCGTAGGCCTCCATCGGGGTATGGCAGTCAAGTGATGCGCGAGAGTGGCCCGCGGAGCCGTCGGCCCCTCGCAAGCTGTTCACCTGCACCCCCTCCCCCCCACGAGCGCGCACGTCTCCGAGCACGAGCACAGACATCCAGCACCGCCGGCAGCGTGAGCAAACGGTGTGTGTGAACGCTGCGTCCAAGCTGCTGTACACAACATCAGCTGCGGAGCTAAAGCGCAAAAAGCTCACTTCAGTTGTTGTTTTTTGAAAGAAATTCAAAATCTGTACGCAACAACTGTCAAGCGGGGGTTTTCTAAACTTATTCAGACTGTCTGACATTCAGATATACTGTGTTAAAAAAGACTAACGCTTACTTTTTACCATTTACAAATTCATGTTTACCTGTTGGGAAGTCTAAGATGATGCAAATGTGTCAAAGGGAGTCTTCAATGTGTTGATTATCAAGTTGTATAGCCTCCTGAGACCCGGCCCATTCATTTATGTCCATTATAGTGGACATTTTGTCCACCTGTACCCCCCCTAAGTATCTGCAGTTACCCTATCAAACCCTATAGTGTTTTGTAGATGACTTCTTGGGCTTTCCAGTGATGTGCCATGTGATAGGTTTGCATGCTGGGAACTTTACTTTTTTCCTAAGAGTTCTTAGGTAAATATCCCTTTCAAGACAACTTCTTATTTGTTATTTAATTATCTAAAGCCTGTTCTATTGTCCCATGCAAATCGTCCTGTTGTCCTCCACAGTGGACGTGCTATAAAATAAAAAATAAAAATATTCTTTAAAAAATTGAAATTTTAATGTTCTTTTTTAGGTCCAAATACATGGAAAATCACAACAAAAAATCAATTTGAAGACACTTTTTTTCTTTGGGTCTCAGGAGGATAGTAAAAATGTTGATAACTCTCAAAAATCTCCTCTGGAACTACCGATAACAAACATAAGCCTCAACTCTCTGCCACAGACAAGCATCCCTATCAGCCTGTAACCTTTACACCCCCCCCACCCCCATGTTTCCTTGCTAACATGATGAGCAGCGCTTCAACAAGCCTCGTGTTCAGCTCTTTTTTCTCTCCTGCTCTGTGCCTCCAACAAATCCATGACAAAGCTGATGAATAAGCCTCATCAGCCTTTTTCTCCTCACCCAGTTTCGGAGTTCTGCTGAAACTTCACCTTCCCTCCAAAACTTGCTGCACGATGAAATGTAAATGTGGTGCGTGCAGATTAAAGTGGTGGATCCCTTTTTAACTGCTGAGGAATGTGGCTTTGCTCTGTAAACCAGACAAAGAATATTCCATGTATACCGAGTGATACCTGCAGAAGTGTGTTCAGATTCCAGATTAACATGTCTGCAATATCAATAAGAGTAAAACAACAAACACTGCTGTCTGTCTCCCCATTTTGTGAAACATTCAAACAAAGGTAGAATTTTTTGGGGAGCGTTGTCGTGTGTATGATTTATCTTCAGTCAGAGATTGCATCAAAACAGACAGCTTTCTCATCACAACCTCGTTTCCACTAATGTGTTTTCAATGCACTGTTCTGTTTTAAATACAGAATATGCCCCCTGGTGTTCAATCCAAAGACAACGGAACGGGAATGCTCATTTTAGCAGTTTCGGATGAAACCGACAGACAAACTTGAGGATAAAGTAGGATGGATTCAACTGAGAATGAACAAACAAAACATCCATACAAACATTTGTTTAAAACTGCTGTTTGACTTCCATGGATGAAACTAATGTTGATGATGACGACTTTCAATTTGGAAAACATTCTACTATTTTATCCTATTTCCCTCTTTTAAAATCGAGGTATCAAATGATCTTCAATACTGAGTATAGATGCCATGACAAAAACTACAGGGATTGTCAGAAAACAGAGATGGATGTTAGCCTCCATTACTGAAATCATTCTTGTAGTTGGGGGTGGGGATGACGCATCAGTCACATATTTTTACGTAGCTTATGTTTTCAGTTTAGAATCTAGTAAAAGGCAGCAGAGCTTCAAAGGCCTATTTGCTGCTGCAGGAACATGATTTGCTGGGACGACACATTGTACATTGAACTGGACATCTAAATGCAAACGGTGCCCGCTGCCAAATATGATCCTGTGCAGAAACACTGGCAGAGAATGCTGAATGAATCTATTTAGCGGGCTTCTACATCCTGTCGAGGTATCCTTTTATTCTTGACAGCCTATGTGAATGCAGAATTTAATCCATAGAAAGGAGATTATCTTCGCAATGTAAACCTAAAAAGGCAGCAAGCATATTTATTGGGAAGACGTTTGCGGTACTGAACTGTCTCGGTAAAGTCTGACGCATTCTAAATTTACCTCCTGCATCTCAGTGGCTTGAATTCATACAAAGGAGTCAGGTGGGGTGACAATGCCCTATTCTGACCTTTCCCACAGTGTTTGCCCTGCGATGTAGCACCTCACCAGTCTGAATGTGAAGTGGCTTACTGCCATTTTCACATAGAGGGGCAGATTTGAACTCACCACAATGGTCCAGTTAGTTCTGGTTTGTAATGAAGAGTTCCAAGAACCACAGTAAATGGGGGTCCACAAAAGTGGGGTACAGTCTAAGGTCAGGGGCACCAAAAGCAATTTAGCTCTAAGATTATCCTGGTGCAGAGCACTTTGGGAACCCAAATGCAAAGGCTTCTAAGTCTCTTTCTGCGTGTGTGTTTGTCTGTTTTATCAACTGTGATCGGGACTGTAAAGGCCTGCTCATAGGTAAATGCACTGATAATGGAATGTATTCAGGTCTCCTCTAATCTCAGCTGTCAAACATCCAAGATTGGGGGGAAAAAAACAGCCCTGCATCAATGCTTTCAGCTATTCACCCTTACCATGACCCTGGGATTCTATAACAGTGTGTTTTGCCTGAGGAGGGAACTTTGGCAGAGTTGTGGACCAAAGTGTGACCTCCACATTCATGCATTTTCCCCGGATATGTTGGGCAATACTTCTCAAAGCACATAAGCTCTACGGCCATTTTTGCACTTTGACCTTTCTTCAATTTATAAGTGGCTACATGTTAATTGTGACTAAAATTTGGATTACTTCATCAGTCTTGGGACCCATACTGTTTGAAATCTGATACCCTCTTAAAATCAATAGTGCTCCCCTTCAGTCTTGGGTAGCGCACTAAGAAAGAAACACTTGCTGCTGAGGGGCCTTAAGGTATAAAACTCTTATCCTGAGTCAGCCTCTGTGTCTGTCTCTCCTGTTACCGGCAGCTGTTGTCTAACACTTTGTAATATTTAGGATGTCTGACATGTTAAAGCACATTCTGCAGTCAGTCTGACAGTGAAGGTATTTGGCTGCTGTGAACTATCTCACCATGCACCCATACATCCATTACCGGGGGGGGGGGCAGTTATTGGGGGAGGCAGGGGAAACGTGTGACAGGTCGACAGTCCATCAAAAGGCTGCTTAGTGATGCTAAGGCCATGAAAAGGGATTTTACACTTATGCGATGAAGAATTAAATTAGCAAGATGCGTCAAATAAAGCATTGCTTTTTACTTTCAATTTTAAATCTAAGTCACACATTTGAAACAGCAAGTCATTCCAGTCATTTCCCTGTAGGCACAGTAAATAAAAACCGCCTCAAGAGATAGAATACATCATGTGCAGATTTCATGTATACATGTGTTTAGCCTTTTTGCGAAGCAATGCTTCATATCAGTCAGAGAACCATCTTTGTAGAAAATCCAGAAGGGGTGAACAACAAACTATACCAAGAGCTACTGAGAATCGATAGCCACAAAAACAGACATTAAAAAGCTATGCAATTCAACCTTGC